CACCTCCTCTGCTATCCACTATAGATTCCCTCCCTTTTACCTAGTACCTCTGCTGCTCTTGGTGGCCTACTTGGTGGCATGCCCCAGACCCTTATTCCTTGGGGTCTGAGCTCTTGGTCACTGTGCCCTCCTCACACCAGGATTGCTGCACTTGCCCATTTCTTCCTGTTGAGAATTCAACTGAGCTACTCCTTGACATTGCTGCCTTGGCATCCATTTTGTTTGGACAAGCAGCCTACGGGGACCTTAAACTGACACTAGCCTTCTCATACAAGTGCATACCACCTAGATTGCAGCCCACAGAGTCACAAGCAAATATGTAAGTTCCTGATATTGTGGTGGTGTGATATTGATATGACTTCCTCAACAGCCCTTGTGATCAACAGTGTCCCCTGCCTCTCAGCACCTTTACGCCTCATGTACCCTGTACATAAAACTCCTATGGGTCTTACCAAAACCCCTTTCTTGGCTTGAGTTGACCAATCTGGCCCTAGCCCAGGAGCCCCAAAGCACTCCACCCATGAACCTTAATAAAGGAATGTGCCCAGGTCCAGCTTCTCCATCTGTCTGCACCCTGCTTTGACCTCCCCGTGTGGTCCCCTGAGGCATGCTATATACTTCTTCCAGGATCTGTGACTAATAAACTTCTCTATTTCAATTACTCTTGTGGCCTGTTGTTGAATTGTGATTCACCATCTGGCACCCTATGCTCCACTTAACATATATTAATTTAATGAAGTCATAACACCTACTAAAACTGGTCAAGAAAGTACCAAGAGATGCCCAAGTGGATCACTCAAAACCAAACATGTTTCTCCTTGCCTACAGTGAGTAACAGCAGCCCTACCTCCTCCTGATGACCAGGGTAAATCATTCAAGCAAAAATAGGTACTCTTCTTTCTGCCTGCTGACCCCTGGGCACAAAGAGGAAGAAGTGCCAAAAGAAAGTAAGTTTATCATTCAATGGGATTTCAGCAGGAATTCCCTTTTAAAAAAACAGCACCTCTATACATGCAGAGCTCAAAGTTGTAGGGGTGAGAAGCAAATATTCCCTAAGTGGTCACAGGAATATTAGTCTATTCCTGCCCAAATGCAGACAATTTGCCACCAAGTGGCCAGTTGTTCTCCTTGAGGGATGAAGTTGAATCGTGAGCCCAGCATGGTTCTCTTGGTGGCAGGTTGGTCATTTGACAGTAACAATAGATAAATGAGCCTTGAGAGTTCATGCTGCCATGCCCATGTATACTCTGCATCCCTGCCAGCATGGCTCTTAGATTCATTGGTCCATTGTGCTAACACAGGGGTGGCCAATGACGGATCCTAGCCAAGTCTTTCTGTGTACCTAGTTCTATGTATCTCCTCCATGGTAGAATGCTCTCTAATAGGCATAAACATGTGATACGAAGATCTTTGCGCTTTAGGCCCACTTCCACATGCCCATCTCCACGTCTCTAGCCTACATCTCCTTGTCCCCAATCTTCCAGTCTTTCCAGACTCCTTATTAGCCAGCCAACCCCGAGTCCATAAATATTCTAACCTTGGGCCATTTGTTTTTACACAAAGCGGATGGCTAGGTGGACTTCCTGAGCTCTTCTTTACTATGAAGCGCTTCCCTCATCACTCTTTCAAGCCCAACACTGAGTGGAGCTGTAGTTCGACTACAAAACATACCCACACACCAAGCCAACCCACTCATGAACCAAAATTGAGTTTTTTTCCTCCTTCATCACTGGTCATAAGGGATCCTATATGCGGCCACCCATGTGAGCTAAGGAAAAGGCTCTGGTGCAACAGTGGCAGAGGTCATGGGGTCTGGACTACTCGATTGTGCAAGTTTCTTGTGCCTTCTGGTCCTGCTTGTGCTCAATCGCAGATGTATCACTTCCATCAAGGAAATCTGGGCCCTTCTGACCTTATGATTTGGTGGATCTGAGCAAACTCAGCTCATGATAGGTGATTCCAGATGCATGGTCACTTAATGTCCTATAGTGAAGTGTTCCATCACTCCTGGAGACAAGTAGCACTCTATGAGCAGTTTCTCAAAATGTGTGTAATTCTCTTCTGTACATGGCCTTGTCTCAGGATCCTGGGATGACAGCTACTATGTCACCTGGTATATGGGTTGTACAGTATTCCCATGTGTGGAATATCTACCTCCAGAATCCAAAGAGGTATTGCATTTTCTTCTTCATGATGGGAGGTGCAAGGCACAATAAATTATCCTTAACTTTAGTGGTGATATCACAACATGCTCTAATCCAAGATATCCCTAAAAATTTTATTGATCTGAAGGGCCCCCAAATTTTCATAGGGTTTATCTCCCACCCTCTGGAATGAATATGTCTTACCAAGGCCTTGAACATGCTCATCCAGTCTGATTAGCAGGATGTTATCAGTATAGTAAATCAGTTTGATACTCTGTGAGATGTTTAGATGACCCAGTTCTCCTTGGATTATATTATGACATAGGATGGAAGCAGATGAGGCAAAACTGTAAATATATACCTATGTCTGTTCCAAGTGAATATCAATTGTTTGATTCTCTTTTTTGATAGAGATGGAAAAAAACACATTCACCAGTCAATACCTTCATATAATGTGCCCGAGGCCACGTTAATCTGTTATGGCAAAAGGTAGCAGCACTTGTATTTACCACTTGGTTGAGTTTTTGATTAATTCACTGTTATGCTCCAGGATCTGTCTGTTTTTGCCAAAGCCAGATTGGTGAATTAAATGGAGATTATGATGAGAAGCACTACCCCTACATCCTTCAGTTCTTTAAGGCCAGCATCAATTTCTGGCATTCCCACTAGGATGTGGTATTGTGATATTGTTTGTGATTTATGATCTTGGCCTGGAGTGGGAGTGGTGGCCAATTCAGAGGCTTTCACTTAGCCTTCCCCAGAATAATAACTCTTACTCCTCAGGCCAAGGAACTAAAGGATGGTTGTGCCAACTACCAAGTATGTCTTCTCCAATTACACATGTAGGAACCAAGGAAATGGCCAGTGGGTGGGTCTGCAGACCTACTGGACCCACTATGAGCCAGACGTGGGCTGAATCTCCATTTTTATTACCTTGCTTTCATATGCCCCTACTACATCAGTGAGGCCACGATGACACTTCCGGGTGCTAGGTATCAATGTCTACTCATATCTTGTGCCCAAGAGTCCTTAAAATGTTTGAATATTGCCCTTTCCCCAGTGGAGTAAATGATTGTAATCCCTCTGAGGAACAAAGGGTAGACTCAATACTGTGTACACTTGCTATGGTGTTTAGGCAACCCAGCCTCTCCCTCAGTCAGTGGGTTCCAGACCTGAAAACTAGCTCAAATCTGAAAACTGAGCAAGGAATCATGACATTTTCTTGGAGTGACTGCTCTCAGCTTTCTAATCATCTATTCTTGATATTTTTTCTTCGTTGTACAGATTAGGCAGTACCCTTGTTGGCTGTTCATATATTTTGCCCCAGGGGTGCTGTATTCCATTAGCATCTCCATAACTCTCCGCAGATCAGGCACCCCTGGATTCCACTGTAACTTTGTTGTTATTCATGATAATTGCACCCACCTGGCTCTGACAGCACTGCCACCTAGCCACTATTGTTACAGGGTATTATCATCCCCATTGTTCTTAGTGAGCCTATTTCTACAGCAGTATCTCTTATCACCCCAGGCCTACAGAGGAAAACCATCACTTACCTTCTTAGTGATGCTGGTGTCCCTCTTACCAGTACCTTCTTTATTGTTTCCTCTGGACCCTTCCATGGAGCATAGTCATCCAGTCTTACATATTATATCCATTCTAACATACCCACCTCTCTGAACCTTCTAATCCCTTCTTCTAGCATCTCCCATGGTGATTCTGGCATTTCTGCCTAACTTAGTGTGAGCCGTTATTTTTTCTATGCTTCAGAGACATCCTAGCAGCGTGTTTGCACCATCTCCTGGGGTCCTTGCCAAGGAGTTAAAAAAATGCTCCCATATCAGTAAGTCCCCTTTTATCTAAATTTATGCTCTGCTCCCCCAATCCCTAGGTTCAGAACTGTCAGAACATAATCCCATGCATTCTTTCCTGGCTAGATTCTGCAGTTCCCCTGGGGGGCACAGTCTCAGTCCTTCGCTGGCAGGCCGAGCATGTCTTTGCTTAGAGAAGCTTCTGTATCATTTTCAAGGTGAGAGTCTAACTCTTGTTAGGACATAATGGTCCTCTTCCTCGGGCTCAGAGAGTTCAGGAGAACATAGGAATTTAAGATTTCAAGGACATCAACCCAGGTGTCCTCATCTCATGTGTCAGAATCCCATTCCTTTTCAACCAGAACGTTGACCTTGCCATAGGAGATCTGCTTTTGCTGGGAATGAGACTTTCTTTGGAGCTTGGCTACTCTTCTGATTAAGCTCTGGGCCGGGTCTTCAACTTTCTATGTCCATCCCCTTGCAGAAGATGAGTCTCTTTATACGCTACCAAGAGGACACGTGGGAGCGGGGAGATGTACGTGTCTTTATTGGACTGTGGGCCCAAATTTGAAGAGGATAATTAGATGAAAAACATAAATGAGGCTAGATGTGAGAATCACATGGGGAGCTCATAAAAGATGAATTCTCGCTTTGTTTCCCCTACCCATCGACAATTCCAATTTTGTATATCTTGGAGTGGAGCCTGGGAATCTCTATTTTTTAGGAGCTTCTCAGGTGAACTTGATAGGTCACCACTTTGGAACTATTTGAGAAGACAACCACTCAGTTTCACATCTATATCTAGCCCCAACATAGCTATTGTTTTAAATTGAAAGTAAAAGAAATGCAAACATCATGGGACCAAAGTTTGGAAGTAACTTCATGCACTACCTGTTTTTATTTGTTTTGGGGTGTCCCCCACCCCAGGCTAATTTCCACAACACTGGGTCTCCACAGAAAGCTGAGCAGGAGTGTGAAGTCCCAGGAGGTGATTTTGATAGGATGTCAGGGACCATGTGAGCAATGACATCTCCAAACTGCTTACCTCAAAAGTGTGGAGAGTAGGAGGCAGAGTGATACCAGGACAGGAGGCAAATACTCAGCACAGCCCACACATTACAGTCCCAGGTGATGTGAGCTCCCCACATGCACATCTTTGAAATGGGCCCTGTGGTACAATAAAAAATAAGTATTTGGAGTTTGTCATCCCTTTTTCTGGCACAAAGCTCCTAAAACCGTTGGAATCTCCTAAGAGATTACAGTGTCTTTTGTATGTTAATGAGATGGCTTGTAGAGGGTGAGGGGTTAGGTAGCTTCATGACAGGGCTGGTCACCAGAAAAAACAACCAAGTGATTACAGTCATGCGCTGCATAACAACGTTTCAATCAAGGACTGACTACATATACCATGGTGGCCCCGTAAGATTAGTACCACCTACTCTAGGTGTGTAGTAGGCTACACCATCTAGGTTTGTGTAAGTATGCTTGATGATGTTCGTACAAGGACAAAATGGCCTAAGGATGCATTTCTCAGAATCCCCATCATTAAGTGAGGCATGACTGTAGAGGATTAGAATTTTCAGCCCCATTAACCTCCCTCCAAGGAGAAGTGAGGGGCTGGAGACTGAACTCAATCACCAATAATTTAATCAATCATACCTACCATAAAAAAACCTAAACATCCGAAACCTCCATAAAAACCCTAAACAGTGGGGTTCAGTGAGCTTCCCGGTTGGTGCACACATGGACTGTGCTGGGAGGGTGGTGTGCCCATTGAAGGCTTGGAAGCTTTCCACCTCGCACCCTCCATACCTTGCCCTATGCATCTCTTCCATTTGGCTGTTCCGGAGCTGTACTCTTTATAATAAACTGGTAATAGTAAATAGAGGACTTTCCTGATTTCTGTGAGTTGCTTTAGTGAACTATCAAACTTGAGCAAGGAGTCATGGGAAACTTCAGATTTGTAGTTGTCCAGGCAGAGGTATGGGTAACCTGGGCACCCCATCTCTGGCTGGCATCTGAAGTGAGGGCAATCTTGTTGGGCTGAGCGCCTTAACCTGTGGGGTCTGCACTAACTACAGATAGTTAGAGTTTGAATTGAATTGACTTGTTGGATACCCAGTTGATGTTAGAGAATGGACTGTTGGAAGAACCACACAGGCCCTCACACCACTGTCCTCTTATGACTGTGTACCCATGCCAGAAAGGCCCAGTCGTTCTGGAAGACAATGTTGTTATCCCATAAAATTAGGGGTCACTTGCCTGATGGGCATAAACAGGTCATTTACTTAGGGCATCAGCCTTTGAGAAAGAAATCAACTTTATTCTGTGAGATTGATCTTGTGGGGGACTGGAATTGGCCACCCCAAGATATGTCTCTTTGGCACGAGGATTACTTGGAGCTGGTTACTTTGAAAAACTGCAGACAGGAAAGAAACTCTGAAAAGTAGAATTTACTTACCATTTGTTAAGAGACATTTACGTTTGTAAAGGAAATCTCCGTCTGTAAAGGTGTCTCCCTCTCTGTACCAGGAAGAAGGGAGGATGGCTTTATCTCTAGAAGCTCTTATCCACATGGAAGGCAAGCACTTAAATCTGCATAATAATCTGACTCTTGTTTAGTGTACTTGTCTGGTAACCTCCCATAACTGACTCCCCCCTCCCCCAACATCCTCCTTTGTCTTTAGGTGGGGGTGGTATTTAAGATGAGAGCTTCCACCATTTTGACAAGTTGCTCAGTTTGCCTAAGTCTCTCCCATGTATACACGTTATAAAGCTCCGTTTAATTTTCCCTGTTATTCTGTCTCATGTGAATTTAATTCATTGTCTGGCCAGAAAGACCCAGAGTGGGTAGAGGAAATGTCTTCCTCCCCTACAATCTGCAGGGAGACAGGGGACATGAGCCTGATCTGTCTCACTAACTCAGGATTTGGGGTGAAATTTAAGAGGTTAGGGAGAACCGGCTGGCAGGCAGAAATGCTAGCAGTACAGCTTTTGATTGGCGGGTTTCAGGCATTTATGGTAAGGTTCTAAACATTTATGATGAGGTTTTAAACATTTACAGTAAGGTGGGGAAAGAATTTTAACTTCAAATCTTTCTGAATGATGGACCCCTCGCTTCTGATAAGAGTCTGACTTTTAAGTTCTGGTCATGTCCTGGTCCTTTGGTTCTGTAGGGAGGAGAATCTTTGGTTCCAAGGTCATTTCAGGTCAATATTTCTTCTCCTGCACATGTGCTGGCTACATGACTTTGCAAATTTTCTGAAAGACAATTTCTTAATTACTCTGTTGATAAGATGGGGTCAGTTGAACTGGTCCTGGAGGGCCCACGGTTATGGCATCTTCCACTGACTTCTCTGCCCACTCAGGACCTGGCACTGAGAAACAGGGTGGATGGTAATGATGGGGTTCAGGACACACTACCCCAAAATATGGCACCTCAGCATATTGAATATCTTAAACTGATGGAGTTTGGAAAAAACGTAGCAGCAGGAAGTTCACTTTGCTTCACCCCCTCCACTCTTTTTCCCTGAGACAGATCACAAAACTCCTATGTAAAAGGTACTGTACCAGGAGGAAAGAAGCCATTCTTACCATCAGAGCTGGGGAATTTGGGGCCAACAAATCTGTGCAAACAAATCTTCTTAAACTAACCCTTATCTTGCTAGTTACTGCTTCACCACTTACTACCCCTAGCCCATACCCCTTTGTCTCGTCAATTCTTCACAAATTCATTGCTTCTTTGTCTAGAAGGAATAAAAGCTTCCTGCTCTGGGCACTCCTTTGGGTCTTCATTCTCCTGCGAAGGCTGCCACGCACATGTAAAAATTTGATAAAATTTGTATGCTTTTCCCCTTGTTAATCTGTCTTCATCAGTTTAATTTTCAGACCCAGCCAGGGACCTGAAGAGGGTCAGGAAAACTTTTTCCTCCCCTATGATCCTCTGCCTTGTCAAATTAAGAAACAGAAACCTCATTAAATTGGAGTCAGGAGGGTAAAAGGGGGAGCTCTCATGCCCTACCTCCATGGCAGAGGCCAACAGGAAGAAGAAAGACTTCCCCTTCTTGATGGGCAAGAAGCTCAACCAATGAGAGACTGTCACAGTTCAGCCAATGAAAAATCACTACACTTTGACCTCTTTGTTTACAATAGTCCTCTCACCCTCCCAACTTCCTCTTCCCTCTATTAAAGAGCTTCTCCTCCCTTGATGCTGGGGCACTTGATCGTGGCTTACCATGGTTGAAGATTCCAAGTTGCAATTCTTTGCTGATCCTGAATAAATCCTTTTTTCTTTTTTTGGTGAGGAAGATTCACCCTGAGTTAACATCTGCACCAATCTTCCTCTATTTTGTATGTGGGATGCCACCTCAGCGTGGCTGACAAGTGGTGTAGGTCCACACCCAGGATCCAAGCCTGCGAACCCGGGCCACCAAAGCAGAGGTGCCAAATTTAACCACTACATCAGGGGGCTGGCCCCAGAATAAACCCATTTTTGCTGGAGAAATAAAACTGGCTGTCTGTTTGTTTAGGCTCCACAGTCTCCTCTCTGCACTAGGAGCGCTCACCTGGGTGTGAGCTTTTGGCCTCTCACTCTTTCTGCATCAGGAACAGATCACAGGCCACAGTTCAACTATCCCTTCTTCACAAATGATGTTCGATTTTAAACCATCAGCTCTGACCTCATCTGGAACTTGGTCTCCAAAGTGTCTGACTAGCCTTAGACTGCCTCCAAGGTCCTGTCACCATCTCAAACACAAATTCCCAGCCAAATGTACCCTCTTCCCCCAAAGCAATTCCCTCTCCCAACTTGCTTACTTATTTTTGTTTATTCCTTAAATATGTCCTGCATCGTTAATATATGCCATGCCCTGTGCTAGATGTTGGAGGTACAAAAAAAGGCTAGGATGAGATCCTCACCATCCAAGAGCTTACAATCCAGCTAAAAATGTGTGTGCGTCACCAATATGAAATAGATGAAAACGAAAGCAGAGGTCACCGGAGCCTGTTTTATACTTCTGAATGTCCACCGCATATAGTACAGTGGAAATGTTTGTGAGATGAATGAATGTGAAATCAAATGAAGGAATGCAAAAGCTAACTGACAAATAAAAATGGCAAGTAATAGGATATATTGGAGAATATGAGGAAGCCATTTGGTGTAAACCTAATTCGGCATGACCTTGTCTTTCCAAAAGGGCCTGACCGAGGCCGTTGAGCACGCATTCTATATTTGCTTTAGATGTTCCCTACGGCAAGAACAAAGGCCCTTGAGATAAAGGTGCAACTTCCCTCCCCCTGCCAACGTTGGCATTCCCTTAAGTATTAACATCTTTCCTTAGGCTAGGAACTGATTGCTGCACTCACCTGTGACCACCCAGCTCAAGACAATAGACTTGCCTCCTGCTAGTCCTCTGAGATAGCAGACCCACTACCTGCTGTGTCCATCAAGCACTGTGCCGAGAGGGCAATCCTGTGACTATTGTGGGAGGGACATTTCAATCACATGTGAAACGTCCTGTATGGGAGTATATAACCACTCTGTATACCTCACTTCTTTGGTGCCCTTTCTTCCTTCGGAAAGAAAGGCCCCAGGCCATGGTCCTCAGATTTCAGCTCAGAATAAACTCACCCAAATTTTCATTTATAGATTGGTTATGGATTATTTTCATCGACATAACCTACTGAGGCAAGAGCATCGGGTCCATAAGGCGCCTCCATCCTTGTGGGTGCCGCTCTCTGTGGTTTCAGATGTGGGCTTCTGGATTCTCTGCAAAGACTATTCCCCTTTTCTAGGTTACCCAAGGGTAACAACTGACTTTTCCTTTTTAAATTACCAACACTTTCCGCTCATAACATCACTCTCAAGCTTTTAGAGACAGAGCAGCTAAAAATTACTCACAGCAAATGGCCCCTGATGAGTCAGAAACCCTTAAAAGCTGTAATCAGGGGCCAGTGTCCCTGCATCCAGTTCGGTGGTTAGGCAAGCAGGAGTCACCTCCGGGAGGATAATGCTTATTCCCATCAGCATGAATGCTGTGCACCTCCCCGCTCCCAGCACCTAGCTTCTCGTTAATTTACCTGTGACATGTTGCTACACTTAATTGCATTTGACAATTAGTAACATTTCAACACCTCTTTTAATGGAACAATTAAGAGAGTGCTTGTGTTGGTTGCAAGAAAATATATGAGCTGAATTTTCAGAGGAAAAGAAAAAAGACCCCACATAAACCCCCAGGGGTAATTCAGTTATAGACAGCTTTGAGGTAAGCCCTTTCCCTTTGGCATTTTGCAAGAATTATGTGCAAGCATGCCTTTTTGTGTTTGTTTGGTATTTGTCTGTTGCTTGGTTTCCCTGAATGAGCATTTCTCCACCAGACAGCTTGGGGCTGTTCACGCAGCCACGTGATATTAATTACAAGGAAGAATGGATGCTAAGCAGTTGCTGTTACTCATTTCTCACTCGTGTTGTTGCATTGATTGCTTGGGAAAGCGGATGCCCCAAGGCAGTTCTTCGCACAATCAATGCAGTCCCCAGGGAAGGCTGAGAAGAGCCTTTGCGCCTTCGTCCTGCCTTCCAGGTCCCTCCAAGTAACAGACTAGCAGGGAAGTGTGACCCCTAGGGTCCCTGAAAAAACTTCAATAACTGCTATTTTTATTATCCTGTCTCCCTCGCCTCACATTAGTAACAGAGAAAAATTACACTGCTTTCTTATTACAAAATTCACCTTACAGCAATAACTTGTTTACAAATCTTTGGACTCAAGAATAATACAATATTGTCACTGTAGCCAAGACTGCAAGGAATGTGCGCTTGAAGCCTCACTACTAAGAGCTGCGAGGGGCACAGAATTAAATATGCCATTTGCAAAGAGTTGATGCATTTCATTTTCTAGAAGAGTCATTTAGCAGAGCAGATGGAATGGATCATTGAAGTAGCATCCGTGTTAGAAAAAGTCCCAAGATGAACATGACTGACAGCCTGGTCGAGGCTTCTGTCTTTGTCCAGTGCCCACCAAATTTCGTCTTCACGGCCCACGGCCATCCTGGCTCTAGACAAACTGGAGACCTGCCACCCCAAAAGTGACTGCTACCCTCCCACCACCGTTTGGCTGCCATGCTCTTCCTCCCGCTTGCACAGCCCTCCTTCTCTGCTTGTCCAAACCCCACCATTCCTCAAGATACAGCTTACATACTATGTTCTTCTTGAAGCTTCCTCTGATTCCCTCACCCATTGTCTCTGACCCCTCACCAGGCTTGGATGCTTCCTGTGTCGCTCATCATCTATAGCTTTGTCTTAAAGCCAGTTGGACCATTTGCCCCTGTCTGAGTGGACTGTAAACTTTGAGGCTAAGGAATCATGTACTATTTTTCTTTATAATAATTCACGAACTTCAGTACAGTATATGCTTATTTATATTATCAGTAATAATTATAACTGTTGGGTATCCTTCAATAAGTATTTGTCAAATTAAATCGTGGTGAACTTTCAGATATGAGTCTGACTTTTAAAAAATTATATTCATTTGATTGGCAGTTGCCTCTTTTACCTGACTCCATGCCTCAAAAAGGCTAGAAAGGGCAAGGAAAGCATTTCTGCTCTTCCAGCTTGGATTCTAACACCACTCCATCAGCTTAGGTTGGTGTGTCATCCGCTCCTGAGTGGCTGGGCGTTTGTAACCAAGGGCTGTCACAATGTTCCCCAAGGGAGAGATGCAATCATAAGAGCAATAATGACTTTCTGTGAGCTGGGATGAACGACCTCATCTCTCAGGTCACTAGGGCAACATCTTCTGAAATCCACCACGGATTTATCACAGTCCTTTCTCTCCCTTTCCACACCAGCACGATTCCCTCTTCTGTTGCCCCACACACTGCAGCTTTGTATCCAAAGGGCCCGGATTGGACGAATGGAGGATCTAAACAGAACTTCCACAGACCCTATTCCACTCCTGGGTCAGGAGGGAAGGGGGTCACTGGTCCTAAAAGGTGGATTTAGTTCCTTCTTGCACCAAACATCCTCAATAATCACACCTCCCCAACACACACACACACACACACAGAGTTACGCTTGCACTCACACACATGCACGGTTAACTGCACACACTAATGCCACATCTTGCTAATTGCATTACCCTTGCTGGTTATTATTAAGGTCTTGCTTTCGGGACATAGAGAGAACCAACCACATAATGATCAAGGAGACAAATGGAGCGTATCACTGCAGCCACTATGCAATGATAATGAGTTACATAAATCAAAAGTTTGGTAATTTACCTATCAGATTGAGCAGTGCATAGGGATTTCAGTTACTGTGATTGTTTTGTGATAGATTTTTTAAATAACTCTCGTACATAGATGTTCCGGAAACTAGAGATTTGTTTCCTAAAGGGAGGCAGCAGAATGCTGTACAAAGTTCACCGCATGATGAGTCAAGAGACCCTTGAGCTAATTTTAGCTCTGCCACCTTGGGAAGGGAAGCTGCCTTCTCCCGCCTTCAGATTCTTCTTTCAATAGAAGGGTGGTTGCATTTGAAAAGATCCTTTCTTTCTGAGATTCTATGGGTACATACTCCTTAGACAAAATACAACACAGACCTCCTCCTGCCTACCACTTTGCAGAGGGAATTGAGCTGTAGGTTTTTTTGGTTTTTTGAGGAAGATTAGCCCTGAGCTAACATCTGTCGCCAATCCTCCTCTTTTTTGCTGAGGAAGATTGGCACTGACCTAATATCTGTGCCCATCTTCCTCTACTTTATATGTGGGACGCCTCCACATCATAGCTTGAGAAGCAGTGCATAGGTCTGCACCCAGGATCCGAACCGGCGAATGCCAGGCCACCAAGGGCAGAACACAAACTTAACCACTACGCCACCAGGCTGGCCCCAAAGCTGCAGTTTTAATGAAAGTCAGCCAGCCCCTCACCAGCTAGAGAAACATGAGTTTTTCCTCACTGTATGTACACTACTTCATTCCCCAGACCCTACACTAAATTGAGAGACTATATAACCTCTTCCTCTTTTTACACTTGGTAAATTGCTTTGTCTACATATGTCACTGGAGGGTGTCATTCATGGTAATTTCCGTTAGGTTAGAGCACAAACTGTATTGTTAAACCAGTTTGTTTTGTTGGTGATTTGTGGGTTAATACTTAGCAATTTTGAGGGATAGATTATCTTTTGGACCCATGGGATTAATAATTCATTTTATTCCAATTTCCTAATGGAATAAACCCCAGAAAGTGGGATATCCCTTGACTCACGCCCAGAGTGAGGGAGCAGAAGCCTCAGTGAGATGGTTAGATTCAGAGCAGAGCCTGGGCACAGAGTTCCTTTGAGAGGCGGTGACTAGGAGTCTGCGTGTACAGTCATGCATTGCTTAATGACGAGATACACTCTGAGAAATGTGTCTTTAAGTGACTTTTTCATTGTGTGAATATCACAGAGTGTATTTAGACAAACCCAGATAGTATGCCTACTGTAAACCTAGGCTATATGGTACTAATCTTATGGTACCACCATCGTATACACGGTCCGTCATCAACTGAAACGTCCTTATGCAGTGCCTGGCTGTATATGTACATGTGCGCATATGCGAATGTGTGGCCATGTGTATATGTCTGTGTATCCATGTGTACATATATATGTGTGTGTTTCTGTGTGTGTACTTGTGTACATATGTATCTGTATATGTGTGCACATGTATATGTGTATGTATCTCTGTATATGTGTATATGTTTCTATGTTTGTATATGAGTGTACACGTGTGTGTTGTGTGTATGCAAAATGCAGCTTTGATGTCTCTTGGTTTCAGTTCCTGGATCAAGTGATGATTATGTTTATGATAAAGGGGATAAAGATGCCAAAAACTTACCCCTTCCCCAAACCACTGGCCTCTGCCTCCCTCTCCAAACAGGGATCCCTTCACTTCAACCACGGGCAGAAAATAATAATCTTCTCTGCATGGAAAGAGACCCACCAGGCATGAAGCCAGTTGGCGCCGGCTCCTTTAGAAATGAACAGATAAACAAACAAATGGGAGCTTGGAAGCAGGAGATGGTTTATGAATAAAACAATGTTTTATTAAGTCGCTATTAAATTTCAATTGAACAGTGCTCGGGCTACATAGGCGCAGACATATTCCTGAAACTAATTGGTTTTCCACATCTGCCTTGCTTCCTAATTGGACTAATTACTGCACTGTAGGATCATGCTCGTCGTACTAGAGAAGGCAAGAAACCTTGATTTACAGTGAGAGGAGCGGCAATTAGAGGGAATTAATTCATAAAGCAACATCTAAATAAATCATATTATGAGAAGACAGCAATGTAATTATTGTGACTGGTGGGTCCCTGGTGGGGAAACATCAAACTTAAACCTCAAACCACGCTGCTGAATTCTCCCTGGATCAGTGTAGCATCTCCTATTTCATCAAGCATGTACTACCTATTCTTTAAGGCCTAATTGAGGCTCCGTGTCAAAAACAATATGGCCTAACACTTCTCCTCTCCAGCGGCGGAGGCAAAAACATCAAGTTCTCACCACCTCATATTTGTCCTTTGTCAGAATTAAATATAAGCTCAGCACGACGTGGGTAATGTGCTATGGCTGCAGTTTCAAAATGGGCGCCTTTGCAAACTTAAGTGTCATTGTGAATCTTCTCTTGACATCCAGTGGCATTTTGGGGGTTATAGCTAAGAGAGCTTATTAGTAAGAATAGCACGTTTCCACTCCAGTCTTTCAATAATTCATCTCCTCTCACTGTGAAGTCACAGGCTCATGTCCTGCTTGGCTGTAATGGGTCAGAAGGCCTTGCAATATTCATGGTGGCTCCCTCCCCCTTGATAGTGGACATCCTCTTCATTTCCCTTTATTATTTTTTGTTTGGTTGGTGTTTTTTTCTTCTTACTATCATTCAGACTGAGCTTGAGAAGAACTTGTAAACAGCCTCCAGAGTAAATCCTTTGAGCCTCAGTTTCCCATCCATAAATCCAATGATTTCCTCCTTCCTAAGGTGCCACCCTGGAAGTTGCTCTAAATAAGATTTCCCCACTTTTTCACATCGAGGCACATGTAGAAAACGATGTTTTTATATGACACTGGGGTAATCAGAAGGGGTTGTTTGTGTCCAAAGGGCATTTGGGTTTCTAGATCCAGGCTCTGGCCACCTCAGCCTTGTCGACTCAGGGAATTAATATCTTGGGACCCCTGTAAGCCATGGGTGCCATGGACACCCATTGGGGAGCTCTTCCCCAAAGAAGCTACACTTTCTACTTCGAAGGCGCTTCCTGCTCTCTCAGGGGCCTGGAGCAGCCCAGTCCTGCAGCCCTCCCCTTCACAATAGAGCAGGTCATTATTCTCAGCAGGTAGCCCCGAGTTCACTGTCCATTAGGAGGCCTGCCTTTGCTCATCTTTATCTGCTAGTAGAGAAGTGGGTACCACTCAGAGAAAAATATTCTAGAAAAATAACCTCCAAAGTAACCACACACGGTGCAGGCGTTCTGGACTTCCCTTGGAAGGGAGTCCATGTACGTTACTCCATGTACGTTAAACCAAGAAGTCAAGAGTGTAGCAGGGGTCAGAGCATGGCTTTAGAAGAATATCATTCATTCCTTGGACTAAAAGAAACTAATTGCTAAGAACAGGTGCTTTTAGAATCAAAAGGACCTGGATTTAAATCTTTTTCTGTGATGTTTAAGGTGGAACCCACCATCTAACCTCTGTCCTCAATGTTCTCCTCCTCAAAATGTGGGTACTAATACCTGCTTCATGAGGTTGTTATGAGGATTAAGTAGTAGAGTGTGTGTAAAGATCTTCTAGGCCTAGACTAACTCTCAAAAAATAAAAGTTACCGAGGCAGCCCTGATGGTCTAGTGGTTAAAGTTCGGTGCTTTCACCACTTTCCCGGCCTGAGTTCATCTCCAGCCATGGATCCACACCACCCGTCTGTCAGTTGCCATGCTGTGTAGAGGGTTGCATGGAAGAATTAGGACTTACAACTAGTATATTCAACCACGCAGTGGGGCTTTGGGGAGAAAAAAAGTTACTGTTATTATTATTATTGTAACTGCCTCCATCTAATTCTTCTGGTCAGTCTAACATAGCCTCACCAACTGGTTGTCCATCTGAACTCCTGGGAAAGGAGGAACTTACTTCCCTCTGAGGCAGCCCATTCAATTTTTAAGCAGTCCCGCATCTCCTGGTTTCCACTTCTGGATCTGTACAGCGTCAGTTTGTCTGTCATTTCAGAATGACTCATTTTGCACAAACTGACACAGCAACGGCATTCCCAGAGAGCTCAGCGAGCTCCCTCTGCCTGTTGTGACTCGATTTCAGAAGAGCTTTCAGCTGGGGGTTGTCCGCAGAGGCTCACTTCGGAGATAACGATTCAAACACTGCTCCAAGCAGATTCTTCAAACCCAAAGCAAAATCTACCCTCTTCTCATGAATATAATTCCACCTTGACTTATAAAAACAATTGCCAATCGAGAATGGCTTTCTTTAAAAAAGAAAAAAAAAAAAAAAGCTGATTTCATTTCTATTTATCTCCAGGCACTTCCTTAGGATGCAGATCTAAAAGGAAAAATTTCCTTGTGACATAGAAGGGTATTTTATGTCACATTCCAAGACTCATTTGGATTCTATGAGATTGTGCTGGTCATTAGCTAATATAAA